CCATAGGCGAAAAATACTTTGACAGTTTGCTCTCGGAGTTTTGGGCCCCGCCAGGCATGGCCCGTCAGAAGTGGGACACGGCTACCCGTGCTGCAAGGATTGAGTTCCACAGCGCCCGGCTGGAGGCGAGATGTCCCCGCCCCCAGCGGATCCAAACTCAGTCTTTACCTCCTCGCCCTTCCCCGACTCGTTCCCCTCCCTCCTTGCCCGATGGATGTGATCGTGATTCCCCCAAGGCCCCCAGTTCCCCGTGGTGGAGCTCGGGCAGAGATGGGAAGTGCTCCGACCCATCCTAGTTCGGTTTCCTCCGTCGTGGGCTTGGACACACATCAAAAGATTGTCCAGCGGTTGGCCCACGTCCGCACGTATCCTGAGCGCTGCGGAGCGTCAGTGTTTCTTTGGATGCCGAGCCCCTGATTCCTTTCAACACTACCTTGTTTGTCTTCGTCCCCTACCCCTTCTTGCTATCCCTCGTGGCGTCCTCCTTGCCTGTCATCTTACACGTCTGGGGCTTGGCCCCGTACCAGATAGTGAATCCAAGTATCCCCGCCAGCGCTGCCATCGGATCGTAGTGCTGCGTTTCCATATTTACCACAAGCTGACAGCCGCCGTTGCGGGCAGGCCAAGAGCGGTTTCGCCCACCTACCACTGCGAAGTACGAGCCGCAGCCCTCGTCGCGATGCGATGCTAAGGGCCCTGGCGGCAGCTGAGCCACCGCGGATTCAAGCTACATTCGTTCCTCCTCCTCCTCTTCCTCATCCTCCTCCAGATTTTCAGCCACTCCTCCTCTTCCTCCTCCTCTTCCTCCTCCTCCTCCTCACCCTCCTCATCCTCCTCCTCCCCCTCCTCCTCCTCCTCCTCCTCCTCCTCCAGATTTCCAGCCGCTTCGGCTCGAGGGGCGTGGAGGAGGATGCGCGCAGGAGCGGGTGGCGTGCCGGGGGTGCCCAGGGCCTCCGCCGCCGCAGCCCGCGGCGGCGATGACCGTCGACGGCGCCGCGGCGCACGCGGGGCCGGACGGCATGGACAGCATCCCAGAGCACTCCGGGGGTGAGAGCGAGGACTCGGGCAGGAGGAGGAGGAGGAGGAGAAGGAGGAGGAGGAGAAGGAGGGGGAGGAGGAGGAGGAGGAGGAGGAGGAGGAGGAGGAGGAGGAGGAGGAGGAGGAGGAGGAGCAGGAGGAGGATGAGGAATGAGGAGGAGGAAGAGGAGGGAAGAGAGGAGGAGGAGGAGGCAGGAGGAGAGGAGGAGGAGGAGGAGGAGGTGGTGGAGGAGGAGGAGGAGGAGGTGGGTGGTGGGACGCTGACATGGGACCTGGGTCCGAGTTCAACTACTGGCCTCAGAACTTACTCCTCCTGGTCTGTAAGAGGAGGGAAGCAAGAGGCGGGGCCGGCCTGGAAGTGGCCCGCGAAGGAGAGGGTGCCGCGCCAGGGGGCTCTCCTACGGAGCTCCTCCTCGCGACGCGCCTCGCGACGCGCCTCGCGTCGGCGCTTGGCCTCCGCCCTGTTGGCAGCGATGCGGCTAAGCTGCTCCAGGGAGAGACACGGAGGGGGAGGCAGCGGCAGCGGCGGCGGCGAGGGAGAGGAGGGGGGGGAGGAAAAAGGCCTCAACCAACTCTCTAACTCCTCATCCGATCCAAACTCTTGCAAGAGAATATTCCTGCTGGGGCTGTCAGAAGCTGGAGTCGGAGCTGGGGTGGGAGCTGGAGTCGGAGCACCAATGGGGCCCATGGGATTCTCACTGGGGTCGTCCTGGAACCTGTGCATCTCTGGATCAGCTCTCTGTGTCTTGGCCGTTATACCTGCAAAATCGGGTGCTGTGTCAAAGTCCAAACCTATCTCTGTCAGGTAAAACTTGCGTAGGTCGGCGCACAGCGCGCTCTCATCAAATTGCTGATCGTCGTTATCAGCATCTGCATAAATATTCTGCATGGAGGCTGCAATGGCTGCTGCTAAACGTGCACACATCTCCTCAGGATATGTTTTCTTGGCATGCGTCTTAAAGACCGTGCGTCCTCCAACATGTTCCTTCCCCTGCAGGATTTTGTGCACTCCTCTCCCGTGGTGGCACCAGCCATTGCCTGGGCCGTCGCACAGGCGTCGTCGCAAACATGGCATCCTCAGTCCTAGGAGACGCGTGGGAGCTCTGCCAAACTCCGCTGGGTCTCGATCTGTCGGCTGCAGTGTGCATTGATCAAAGTCCGCCGTGATCGTGATGGGGGCTGAGGCTAGGGCCTCGAGGGGCTCCCAGTGGAAGCTGCTGGGGGCCTCTGGCCTCCAGTGGGCCGGGAGGGGATGCTCGATCCACCCAGAGGTCCCAGCCACCATGTGGCAGCCCAAGAGGAACACCAGATTCTGCAGTAATGTGTTGGCCGCATGTAGTTGTGTGGCCTGTCGTTCTGAAACCCAAGGGACGCCCCAGAACCACTCATGCGTACGTAAAGGGGGGGGACCCCCGTCCAGCCATCTGGCCGCGCTCCAGGTTTCACAAGGGGGCCCCCCCCCTGTGTTCCATACCCGTCTGGCCAGGATGTGTTCACCCCACTGTGTGATAGTATCTGTGCGCATGAGGTCCCCCTTGTCTGTGTCAATGGCTATGTCCACTGAAAGCATAATAATGTGATAGGCTGACGCAATATGTTCATGCTCGATCCAGGCCTGCACGTCGCCCTCGCGTCGCTTGCCTGAAAAAAGGTTGAGCACAAAAATCTCCTTTCTGTGTATTCGCATGGGCACCCACTCAGCGGCTGGTCCACTGAAGTCTTGCGGTCGGTACCTGTAGTATCTGTCACTGAATGTGAGTCCTTCCTGCTGTGCTGGCTGGGGGGGATCATTGAAGAGAGCCGTGTATGCCGACATTGCAGTAGGTCCTATTTCGTAAGCATGTGTACGTAGTAGTTCCTTGGCCTCATTCTCAGAGAAAAAGGCTGCTGCAAACATGGCTGCAGGGTAGAGCCCGTCCGTCGGATATTGTACATGTGCTGGGAATGCTGCTCTCCATCTGCCTAAACCAGCCCGTCTCTGCTTCTCATGCAAGTCAAGATCTGCCTGTCGCAGCTCCTCTGCCCTCTCTGGAGGGACCGTAGCGCCGTGCAAAATGTATGCTAGCTGGCACAATGCTGCGTCGAAGGCAAGGTGATCCCTGAGGAGACGCCTAGAGGAGAAGGCCATAGAGCACGCCATGCATACTGTCCCCTCCCCCATGAATCTGGATACCACGTGTACCTGGCTGTAATGCACGCGCACAATGTGCTGTCGTGTGCTCTTTGCTGTCTTGCCCACATAGTCACACCACATGCACCTGAGATCGGTCTGTATCTGTGGGGGGGGATGGAGAGGGTGGTTCACGTTCGTGATCGGTATAGGTACTCCTGCCGGGTGCACAAGTTGAAAGAAATCCTGCTGTGCCTT